GTGTAAAGCGCAATTTTAACTTCATAAAATAAATGCTGTGTGGGGTGTGTCATAATTTTTAATGAAAACTTGTCATTTTAATTGCTATTGGAATAAATGAAAACAGAGACATGGCAATTTGTATTCGTGTTTTTTTTTTTTTTTTTTTTTTTTTTGGAACTTGAACTTGAACTTGAACTTGGCCTTGAACTTGAACTTGGCCCGGCCAAAAAAAAAGCCCAACGCATACAAGTCCCCCCGAGGCGTGCACGCATGGTGTTCCCCGCCCACAGACACCGACAAGTCCAGCGAGTCGCCCTCTATCTACATCAACTCATGATCAGTTGATCTTAGTGCGCACTAACTCCCCAAACTTGCAAGTCCAAATAATCGCAAATGACTTAGTTAACTCCAACATGATAAGGATCCTTATGAACTTTAAACAATCAATTTACTTTTCTGACAAAGTCGATGCCCTATTAACCATTTCAATTACCGAGTATTGCCATGGAAATTATATACCAACTATCACTCCAAAAATTGCCCAAGTAGAAATCTCTCTCACATCTACTCATGATTGTCTCACTCAACATTTCCGTTGTTCGCTGTTGCATCATGTTTCTGATCCATTTAAATGAAATGCATTACAAACAGGCTACAATTTGCCAGCTTTCTCCGATATTTCCAACGCAATAAGATTTTACGACATTTATCTCTGCTACCATTTACGTAAATAACTTCCATGATATAACTCTGAAATCTCCCTGCCGTTTAATCACATCAACATGTACAGTGATCAGTTCATCTCATGAGTGTGTCATTTCAAAATACATATTATTCGTAAGATTTTCACAAGAACTTGTAAGTATATATTTGGTTTTGACGGACATGCACATTTAACTTGAACTGGCAAAGACCAAAAAAACAATTCAGGACAAGTTTTACAGAAGGCAGACGTAACCTTTTAAGAGAAGGTAACAGTATTATCGTCAAATTTGATCTTCAAGCTCTAAAGCCTTGCCAATATTGGAAAGCTTCTTTGTACTTGGGTAGTAAGTACATGTACATGCTGTACATGTTATGTACATGTACATGTACATACTATGTACATGTACATGCTATGTACATGTACATGCTATGTACATGTACATGCTATGTACATGTACATGCTATGTACATGTACATGCTATGTACATGTACATGTACATGCTGTACATGTACATCACATTTCCACCAGATATAAAGCGTCGTTTTCTGGCAGCACTTACACAAGTTTTAAGAACGTCAGATTTTGCAGACAAGATATAGTTGTGCCGGGTAAATTCAAGTAATTACACCAATGTATTTGGACTTCAATTTAATTAAATATTTCAATTTGCACGTTCGAATTTACCAAAGTGTTCTTGGTAGGATTTACAGGTTTTGAGAAGTGAGATATTTCAGCCAAAACTTCAACCAACATTTAGGTCGGACAAGTCCAATTTCAAAGCAACTTGTTTCTTTATCTACTTTGTACTCAGAAAGATAGAATTTTGGTTATTGTTTTTGCACATTTTCCGCTTATTTTTCTCTTCTTTTTTTAACAAAGTTTGCGTACATTTTGTACAATAAAGAGTCAATTTTCGACATTTCTCAAACAGTCCTGATTTATATGGGCAAGTACACCAAAACGGAATATATTTTCTTTGTGCCATCATAAATGTCTTCAAGACAACTGTCTTTAATTTGTGCACTTGATGTACATAATGTACATACATGTATGTAACAATCTAAAACAACCCACACATTTTGATTGGAAGTTTTACGAGAGAGAAATTGGTTGGACTGAAACACATTCACAATTTTTTCTTGTGGAATTCTTTGGATTTCACACAGTATTTCAATACTGAGTGATCACTTTCATTTCTACCGTCATCTGGCCAAACTCTTCACAAATCTGTTTGTTTTTTCAAACTGACAATAGGCAAACCAAATCAACACACATTTTGTGCACGGAATGATTGCTAGCCTATAATGTCATATTCTTTGAAGCCGAACGCCAGCCTCGAATGAATTAGACTTTTGTCAAAGAACATTTTTGGGGTCTTTTTTTGGAGGGGGAGTTTTTTTCACCCCCCATTTTTAACCCGATGCGCGCTTCTGAAGAACCATGCTATTTCCTGGTTAATGTGCAGTGGCGTAGCTCATTGGGATGGGAGGGGCCTTCTAACATTTTGAGGGGGCTGTCTGTCCAATTGGACAAACTGGGATCTACATGTATCTCAATTCCATGCTCGGCCCATATTTTGGCCAACTCAAGATGGGCCCATGAAAATGAAGCTACAAACATGGCGACCAGCCATGTACATTCAAATGATAATGTCGAATTTCATGTTGGCCCCACATGGACAATTGCATGGGCTTCAATTTGCCCCCTCCTGTTTTCTTGTGGCCCCTCCTTCATTCTAGCTACGCCACTGTTGATGTGGTGGCAATCTGCCCCTCAGCATCCTCAGAAGCTGTGGCATCATCATGACACAGGGACAGCCTTGTCCCGCCATGGCCATCCATGGTCAAGTTTAATTGAAGCTTTCATTAATTCATGCACTGTACAATGACAACATACATCCTCATCTGTTTTGCTTGCTAAACCCACATGTGTATCATGGCATTTGGAGTAAACATACAGGGCGAGTCAAAAAGAAAGTGACCTGGATTAATGATTTTCTTCTTTCTTAAAAAGCGATCAAATTTTATACATCAATGAAATATGTCTTAATCACTGAAATTTATCCAGGCTACCAGAGGAACCTATTTCTATAGCTGTTCATGGAATGCCGTTGGAAGCTATTGAGTGGAGTGATAATTACAGATTACACACAGGCATTCAAATACAAATGAGATTTTGATCATTTGGGTGAAGACTGAACCATTATCTCTTTTTCTGTCAGATTTTGTGTTTTGAATCTGAGGAACAATTAAGTCAACTTTTTTATTTTCCTGAAATAGTGATGACGAGTTTTGTCAGTTTTTTTGCAAATTTTCGTTCATTCATCAAGGTGGGAAAACGTCCATGTTTCACTGTATTTAATGAGTATTCATCAGTTCGTAGAACGGTAAATGATCAGTGGTGGACAGCTGAATTTTGTGATCTTTTTATTAAAACAGACGTAACTTGGGAATAGAGTACGCAAAAATGCGAGAAATTTTCAGTTACTAGTCAATGACACGTACTTTATCCTATGTTATTTTTTTATGAAATGGAGCAAGCAACGTGTTTTAAAAGCCTTTTTTCTCATTTGGTCACTTTCTTTTTGACTCACCCTGTATTGCTACATGTCTACATTACAACAGATATTGCACATTTATGCTCACATGCAAACCTAGGCAGGCCCCAGGACAAATTAACGGCAGTTTCTGAGATTGATTCTGCAACGAGACACTTGCTACTGACTCAGAAGGAATTTCAGTGATATTTAGGCATGCAGCATGCAAAACTGGGCAAAAGACTTTCTTGGTTTCTCGACTGACCAAAACAGATTGGACTGAAAATTACACTCACTTTATCTGCTCTTTGTGTAGCAATTGAACTAGACCAACCGTTTTGTCTCGCAGACAAAATTGAGTGCTCCTGCAGGATTTGAAACACTGCCATAATTTAGAATCAAGATGACTGCGTATCAGAAGGATTGACACGGTCATTTTCGGCCAAGTGAATTGCAAGTTTAAGTTAGTCAAATGAAAGAGCAGAATTTCAAAATAAGGCTCTTTCAAAGTATGCATTTTGTCAGAAATCATTCAATCAGCAAAACTGCCATTCATTTTAAGATTTATCCTGGGACCCGCCCCTTACAACCTATAAGACAAGACCGACCTTTCACTTTTGAAACACTTAAAAGAGGAATGACAAAAAAGTACTAATTTTACAGGCTAAACCTATCTTTCTTGGGACAATGTTATAAAATGTATCCCTCTTGCAGTTGCACAGAGCCTGGTGTACCTACATGTACATGAACTGAGATTCAACCCAATTGACGTCAGCACAATTAATAAGTCCTAGTTATTTTAGATCTCTCTGAGTATACCCCAGTAAACGATAATGGGTATAAAGTTAGGAACACTGTAAAAATGCAATATTGCAAAAATATTCCATGGGAAAAAGGAACTTTTCCTGTCCCAGTTGGCTATCAAGTTTTCCAATTTCATTTGATTATACTGAGCTGTCCTGAGTTGTTTGTTTAAGAGTATATTTACTCCTGAATTCAGTCATTTCAAAGGCGTCTACTGAACATTATGTGAAGTGTTCAACATTTTTATTTTTTAGTAATTAGGTTTATCATTTATATACCTACATTTGTAATTTGGTTAAATTTATTTTATTTGCCAGTTTTTGACCCTACGTATGTACAATTTTGTATAATTTATTTATCACATCATGTTTAATTCACTGTTCACTGCATTGTACTCATTAATGTTCTCAGAGATGGTCTTTAGCTATATTTACATGAAATGCAATGAATCATTACATATGACAGGAAAAAATATTCAGATACTACATGCTCTGCTCAATTTAAAAAAATAATGCATTCAAACTTACTTATTTAACAAATTTATTTGCTGCAATATTGAATTAAAGAGGTTTGCTGAAGTTTGCCTTTAACAGAATTGTTAATATTACCTTTTAGCTTGTTGATGCAAATACTAAGAGTAGTTGGATCAATTTTAAAGAGCCTGAAGAAACTGAAGAGATTGCATATTTGCTTAGAAACCTGCCCTACATTTGTATGCTCGTGCAGCCCTCTTAGTACTAAACGGAATCTAAACTTGACCTGAACAATGACTCAAAAAACCTTTGACTTTTCTTTTTAACCCTTTAGTGACCTTAGCCACCAGAGAACTGAATTGCCTGTGACAAAGACCCACCGGCATTTTCAATATGATTTTTTTTTAATTGCTGATTAGCTATTTTAGTATTCGAAAAAAAAACCACCACATTTCGCAATATTTGCCTTGAATAAGAACTGCATTTTCAACAGGATTTTAGTTGGTTTAGCATTCAAATAAGTCCCAATTCACAATACCAGCCTAGTCTTCTTCAGTCTGGAAAATGCACTTGGAGAAGTAGCGTTGTACACCGAGAGAGGTATGGGTCACTAAAGGGTTAAAGCATGGAGCATAGCTAGTCTTCAGTCTGTGGCAATACCAACATGTGTCCTGAAAGATCTTCACCTTATTTGACAAATGACACACTACCGTTATGCCCCAAAGACCATATTTCTAGAATTTCAGTTTTGGTCAAGTTAAAATTAGATTCAAGTGTGTCAGTTTGATGCAAAATGCGATATCACTTTGCACTTTTTGTTTGGCAAAGTCATGAGATAGTGAGGAATAAATTTAAGTCCCCTGCTAGTGAGACATGATAAATTAATTTCAATGTCAGATTGGTTTCAGCAACCTTTTCAAAGATTCACAATTTTGAGTGTTTGTTTCTTGGCGAGTGGAACCAATTTGGTCTAACTCGGAGCAGACAAACTTTATGGTACATCTGTAAAATCTACTCAATGTTTGACCTCTTTGCAGGAAGATTTACAATTGTCAGATATCAGACTTGTATTCAATTACTGCTCTCTGATGAGATGTTGAACACAAACGACTTACAGGGAAAGTTTTTCAAGTACATGTTCTAGTACCGATACACTCACAGCATATGATAACTTTCTTCTGAATGGAAGTGTACAATACTGAATTTTCTTTTCTGAGGTAGCGTGCAAAGGTGCAAACTGGCCAATAAGACAAGATACAACTGAGTATTTCAAAGTTTTGATTTAAAGTCAAAGCTAAGGTGAAGATCTTCCAGGACTCTCAAAGACATTCAAAGTTAAATGTCTTCTTCTTAGTTGTTAAAATCAATTGAATAACGAATACTAACAGGTGGACACAATGGCACGACCTTTGTTTTAACGTCTCATTTCTCACTTAAAAAAATGCATACTGACAGGGAATGAGAATAAAACAATTTCAGTTTTGCGCTGAAAGGAGTCGTGCATCTGAGAAGAGCTTTTGCTTCAAGGCTTTTCAGCTTAATCTGTGTCAATAACAAAGATAGAACTGCTTTTATTGCAAGCCTAGATTTCCAAGGCTTCTTTTGAAAGTGCACGTTAATTTCCAATTGCTCAAGAGCACACTTTGATATGGCTCTCGATCACTGCAGACAAGTGAGCAGCTCAGATCACAAAGTCGTGATCACAAAAAGGTCCGCTTAAACAGACTTGGCAGGGGATTTCCCCATGCAACCACCTATCAGGTGGGTGATGAATGTATGGGGGGCTGCAGTGATTGCTCAAGCCCAAGGTTTTATCCAATCATAGGATTGGAGTGCAGAGGTCACAACATTTGACCACGAGTTGATTAGCAGCACTTTGAGTGCTTACAGTGAGTGTCGAGTCCAGAAAGTTTACTGAGATTGGTTGAGATGTTTGCGCACCAATACACTGGTTGCATCTCTGTATGATTGTAGGACTCAATGGGCACTCATAAGAAGAGTATTGACATCTCTTCGGCAATATCAAAGGTTTATGAAGACTGATCAGTTCCTAGAATTGTCATGTCAAAGCCTTCGTCCAACTTTGACTACAGATGACAAAAAGCTGACATTTCGTTTCTCTTACTTTATTTTTTCAAGTGCCAGATTGAGGCTAATTGGTATTGCCACAGACTGAAGACTATAATGCACAATACTGTTTTCCTGTAATGCAGACAGATAGCGTTTACTCCTAGCCATGAGATACACATGTTACTGTTGGGTTTAGCAAGCAATGAGGATGTACACAGTGCATGAATTCATTCTACAAACTTCAATTAAACTTACCATGGATCCATCTGGCAGGACTGGCTCCCTGTGTCTGACACCACAGCTTCTATTTGTTAGGATGCAGGGGGCTTTTTTTGTCCACCACATCTTCCATCTGGCCAGGAAGCAGCATGGTTCTCCCCCTCTGCACACCAGGACTTATCCCCTACAATTTGAAGAGTTTGGCCTTCTCTCCTTTTTTTCAAAGTTTCTTAAAATTTTCTCTCCGTTTTTTTCTTTCGTACTGCAGTTTTGATGATAAATATGATGGCAATAGCCCATTCTTTGCTTTTTTAATTTAATGAGAATTTGTTTCCTTTGTGTTTTTAAAGGAGCATTGAATTTTTAAAAGTCTCTTTTAAAGTTGCCTTGAAGTGAGGATGATTTTTTTCTTCGTTTTTTTCTCTTTTTTTTTACGACGCCAAAATTTCGCATTTTGAATATTTCAGGCAGAGAAGCTGCCTTTTTTTAAATTTGGGAATTTTGTATATCACTTGCTTATGTTTATCAAGTTAAGATTCGTATGCTGCCAAAAACACAAATATTATTTGCAAACTCATTTTTTAAAGTGATACATCAGATGCTGAATTTAGAGCAGATTTGACGTTTGATTCAGTTAATTATAACAATTTCCTTTTGATATTTCCTTATTTTTATCCGTGCATGTCTAAGATTTGAACACACTCTATGAGATAACTGATTGTACATGATGACACAATAAAAGGCATTGAGATTTCAGAGTTATACCATGGAAGTTATTCACATAAATAGCGGCTGAAACACCTGTCCGAAAATCAAACCGCATTGAAGAACATCAGATTTACCAACAACAGTACCCATTTGTTAGCAGATCATTTGGATCAACATGATGCCATGGAACTATTGAAATGCAAGCGGGACATCAAGAGTAGATGCTCGATTGATCTCTAGATTTGCAATCTCCAGATTGATAGATGGTACATAATTTCCACAGCAACACTCGGTAAAGAAACAGCCAAAAAGACATCTCCTTTGCAGAAAGGCAAACTAATTGTCAAAGTTCAAAAGGATCCTTACCATGTTGAAGTCGACCAAGTCATCCACGATTATCCAGACCACAAGTTCAGGAAGCTAGCACACACCTTGAACAACCAACCACTCGTCAATGCAGATAGGGACGACCCACCAGACAAGCCGGCATCTGCGGGCGGGGAACACCACACGTGCACGCCCCGGGGGGACTTGCATGCGTTGGGCTCAAGTGTATCAGAACATTGCCTGTTGGTTAAACGTCAAGTATATTGGTTGGTTACTCAACAAATTATCATAAAAGACTATGCAATGTACATGTATGTACAGCCAGCACTGGAAGCATCATTTTTTTCTGTTCGTTTTTTAGAGCGAGGATAAAGTTTTGATCATTGGCACTCAGTAAGTAATGAACAGTGGTTAGCATTTGTTTTTGTATTGCTTGACAAATGAACAAGTAAAAACTGCTTTCTTGAGGTAGTCAGCATACGCACTTGGTGCAAAAACAGCTTCGTGAAGAGGAAACTTTCAAATAACAGTTATTTTTGTGATTTTCTGAGTGTTTGTGCTTTGAAATTGAAAATACGCAGTTTGCAACTTTTTGGAAAATGTGTGATTAACGCCAATATTTTTCATTCGCAGCCAAACTTTGTCTTTCTACATTGTACCAGTGCTGACTATACTTGATAAACAAAAGCTGGGTACAAGATTGGCATGGCTGCTGATAGTAGGTAGCTAAGTTATGATGTACTGGAAAACGCATCAAGGATTTCGAAAACTCATTTCTGAAGACAAATTTGAAGATACAGAAACAAAAAAGTTAATTTTGTATATGTGTTGGCAACATTGGATTTTTGATAGAGTATTTCCAGCTCATAGTTTTACTGCAAGGAAATTTGGACTATTGAGAATCTAAAACATTTTTTGATTTGAATTTGAACCAAATTTTAGTCTAAATGAGAGATTTTGGGTTCAATACAGTAAATATCAAAAGTTTCAAATTGTGTGTAAACATAGTTTGTTTTGAAAGAATGTTGTTAAAGAGAAACCAATCTTGCACCCAGCTATTACCAATCAGGCAATGCCATAAAGAAATGTTTCAGATTAAAATATCAATTAATCGAACGTAACCAGCTCTCTCTGTTATAAACATTGTACCATAAACATTCGTCTACGACAAGATTTTCTGCATTTTGAGCAGTCCTTAGTTTTAGCGAATCTTGTCCAAGAAATTGTTTGATTCTTTCAAGAAAGCACAGAAAAAGAATGCAACTTTACGAAATTGAAATGCAGCGCTTTACTGTCCTTTTTTTTTGCAGTAAGTGACCGTTTCAAGCTAATGAATAGAACTGAATTTGGTCAATGAAACTAGTGCCTAATCACTTTTATGAACCGTGCCTGAACAACTGACTGCTGTGAGAGGCTGGTTACGTGTCACTTGTAGAGGCCTCTCCTCCATCTTCATGAACTGTGGTTTGATTTGATCTCAGCTATGAGTGCCATCAATCATAGATTCACCAAAAGAATATTATGGTTTGAAGGCTTTTGTGCAACAATTTTCTTTGCAGACAATATTTTAGAGTATCATGTCCAATTTTTTTTTTTACATGATGACTTTTGTGCTAATTCATCATCAAATGTTGTGAACGACAAATTTTGCATCAGCTTTTCAATATTTTTGACATCTTTCAAACTGTGGTTACCCGAGGCAACCCATTTTGCATAAAGGCCACAAAGGTGATTTATGAAGACCTCTAGTGAACTAAAGGAAAGAGAGACCTCTACTTCTTAAATATAATAACTTCCGTTTCAAAAGAGTTCCGTTTCAAAAGAGTTCCGTTTCAAAAGAGTTCCGTTTCAAAAGAGTTCTGTGTCAAGACTTCCATTCCAAAAGAGTTCCATTGCAAAAGAGTTCAATGGCAGAAGAGTTCCGTGTCAAAAGAGTCTTGTTTCCAAAGAGTTCCACTTCAAAAGAGTTCCGTTTCAAAAAGTTCCATTTCAAAAGATTTCTGTGTCAAGACTTCCATTCCAAAAGAGTTCCATTGCAAAAGAGTTCAATGGCAGAAGAGTTCCGTGTCAAAAGAGTTCCATCTCAAAAGAGTTCTGATTCAATAAAATTCCATTTCAACAGAGTTTCGTGTTAAAAGAGTTCCATTTCAAAAAAGTTCCATGCCAATATAGTTTAAGCTCAAGAGAGTTCCATTTCACGAGAGTTCCATTTCAAAAGAGGCTTTCATTTCCAAAGCGGTCTTTAAAAGTTTCTGTCAGATCGCAATCAATCAATTGAGTCTGGCAGAGACTGGCAGAGACTGGTAAAAAAAGACCTCTGGTGTATGACATGTATCATTCCCATATCATTTCTCAACAGTCTTTGAAGCCCTTGGTGTGACTGGCGAAAGCATGCAGCTCAAGAGTTGGGCATCCTTGGAGTCACTCTTTGTCCAGTTGGAGAAAAACACAGCTCTTCAAGCAGTTCCTGCAGACCTTCCACTTGTTCGGCCAAAAATGAGAAGCAGCAACTCATGGCACTGTGAGATTGAGAGTCTAAAGGCAACTGAGTTTTGGAGGAAGTCAATTCGAGTGAGTTCAGGTCTTGCGGTGTAGCTGCTGAATTCCATATAGGCAATAGGGATGTACAGTAGAAGGGAACATGTGTGTGGTATTGATCAATGGTACCCCACGACATCCAAACGAGACATATCTCCTGTTCGTCGCAGACTGTGTCCATGTAGCTCATCAGATCAACTGTTGAATAGTTTGCTGTTCAGTGAGCAGCCTGCTGCAGTGATGTCCGGCAGCGTGTGAAGAAGTAGGATTTCTCTTGACCATACATGTAGAGATAAGAGCGTCCTCAAAGTATATGGATGGGCTGGTGGGGAGCTAACCTCTGCTGATTTGCATGAGTGTTGCTGAGTCACAGAATCTGTGTGTCAAATCGGACAAACAAACAATAGAAGGATATATGCAATTGGTTTGTGTACATCTAATGAAATCTACCACAGTCTATCCTAGAACAGAAGTCTGTTACATTTTCTACCCATTTTTGCTCAAATGATGTGTTGTCAGACTAGTTTTGTACAAAGTTACCAAATTCTTACATCACATAAAAACTATCACCATTCACCAGCAAGCAAGAACATGTACTTACCCTGTGTCTTTGGTTCCTGTGACTGGCATGATACCGGACAGTTGATGGACAGTTGTGGAGATTTGGTGCCTGGATGGATACATCCAACAGCTGCAGGTGGGTTGGTGAATGGTGACTTTCTTGAGGATAATTGATCTGTAATGAAGTAAGTTCAAAACAAGAGTTTTTAACATTTACATGTAGGAATATATTGTTTTACAACCAATTTAAAACGCATACTTGTGACTTACATTGTATCCTGTAATTCTCAGGAGAAATTTGGAGAGAGTTTGTCTTGAAATGATTGCAGGATGTTTTGAGGTCATGATCCATGCACCTGTGAACTTTTTTTTTTTTTAGTTTTCCTTGTCATTATCTTGTCTGGTTCCCAGACCAAAAGATTCTGACTATTCCTGATGAATCTTAGGTCCAGTAGCCTCCGGTAATACATTGTATTACAATTTACATTACGTGACTAAAACGGGAGGAATTCCTCCGTTGTCTGAACATGTCCGATGTTTGCCGAATTCATTTCGTCGACAATCGGATAGCGCCCGAGCATTTCCGAGTATAATATAGGTTTAAATATCTGCCAATTGCTTATTAAAAACTTTTTAAAATGAGTTGACAATTAATACTCATTGCTTTCATTTAGAAAACTTGAAATTCAATGACAATTTTGTGCATCAAGTATACTCGGATCGTACGGGCGAACTTTTTTCAGCGTCATGTACTATTTTGAATTTGACGACTGTTACCGAGATTTCCAAAAGTCGGTCTCTGTTCAGCTCTGCCTGCTATCAGTGCTATTTGGCTGCCTAATTTTGAAGATTCCGGGTCAGCATTAGTCAATGTTATCTTACAGAAATATCAAACTGTATTGTCAACTGTTTATTACGAAGCAAGTGATTTACTTAAATATTTGATCAGAACATTAAAAGCGGAAATCAGAAACGAAGCCGAGCTTTGAAAAAGGGCCATTAATGTCGTCATGTTTATTTTTAGCCACGGAGGCTGCCTGACCTACAATTTAGAAGTGAGTGTCGGGAATTATTGTCAGGTCTGGGAACCAGACTAGTCATTATCCTGGTAAGTAGCTTCAATAGTGAATATACATGTATATGAAGCTTTCAAATTCAGGGGGAAACCAGGCTCTGTATAATTGACTGTGAACCCGTCCATGATATTTTTCTTTTCCTCTTGTGTGCCTAATGGCACTCCCAAGGGTTCTTCCATGTACTTATATGCGTATCAGCACAATACGCTGAAATTGCAGCCTGATACGCTGTACGTTTGCTGGAGTCTGATCGCAATGGCATCATGTACGCTGCATCCCCACGTGAAAAGACAAAGTACATTGGACACTACTCCCTCACGGAAAAAGATTTGCGATGTTCTTCATGCTACTTTGCGACTGTTTAGGCTGCGGTTTCTTATGGACTGGCCAAACAAAAGTTCGAGTTAAACGGAGTTACATGTCTGGGCATTTTGAGTTACGGGGGTATTCATGTACATAAATATCTTGTTCTCTTGACGGGAATGCAGCATTACTTTGAGATAAATGGAGTTTTGAGTTATCCAATTTTGACTTAATGAGAGTTTACCATATTCAGCAGCACAGCTCCTGACCAGAAGACATACATGTACATGTACATGTACATGCACATGTAAGAAAATAAAACCATTATCATGCATGTACATGTACGCTAGCCCAGGTTGGACAACGACGTCTTCATTGCATTACGACTGACGTCCGGGGTATAAATTCTACTACCATAGTGAAAAAACTTCTAAAACTTTTTTCCTTCATATTTTTACCTGATGGAGGAAATTGAAATTTCGTTAACGTATTCCTTGTGTCCAGAATTGTGCATTTAAGCTGGGTTCAGAAAAGGCAACTATGTCCATGGGCGGCGTGTTTACTGAAAATAAACCGTTTCGTTGAAAAACATTTTCAGTATGAACTCCCCACGTTAAGACGTACACGCGCGTGCCGTTTGCTGCAGTGGCGGCAGCGTGCTAGGTGTGCATGCGCGCGTGCGTGTAATCTTCACACGGGGAGTTCAAAGTAGCGTACGGAAAATGCTTACAACGAAAGCATGAAATGGCTGTTTATTTTCGGTAAACACACCGCCCATGGACATATTTGCCTTTTCTAAACCCAGCGTATGCACAATTCTGGACACAAGGAATATGTAAACAAAATTTCCGCTTCCTCCATCAGGAAAAAATATGAAAACTAGAGATTTGCGTTTGTTGTTACAAATGCAGAGTGGTCGGGTAGACAACTATTTTATGAAACACTGTCCAGTTAAGTTATGAATATTTTAATCTAAGAACAAAGTATTAGGAAATTAAATCCTTTCCAGGACAATCAATTAAATTTCAGTAAACATTCAGTGTACAGATACAAGTTATTTCTGGCTTGATAACGTCATTAGTCAAAAACGGGAAGTGAATACTGATTTAGTTTGGAGTGGATGTTCATTGTGAAGGTAAATAACGTATGAAAATTTGGAAAATATAAATGTATGTATTCATAACACCGAACTTCCGGTTCGATGACGTCACAGTTTTTGGAAGCAAAAGGTGAACATTGTAATGGTATCGTTATTTGGGCTAAGATATACATGTATGACATGGATTAAATGATAGAATTAAATTTAAATATGATCGTTTCAAATTCTCATAGAAGAAACTTCCGGTCTGATGTTGTCATGAAATTGAAACCTTGCCAAGTTATCAGTGGTTAAAGGGAAAATACAACATTTGCAAACATCGAAAAATAAAACTACCAAGCTGTTACGAAATACCTTACTAGGATGTTGGTAAATGACATGTATGCTAAAGCATCCTGTAAAATTATGGCGCCTGGTGTGAAGCCATTTTCAAGAAAATGGTATATTTGTATACATTTCCAGCACTGGTCGGCCAACCACCGTTGGAAAAACCTAACTATTTTCCAAATTTACCATTTTTTTAAAGTCTAAATTTGTTTTGCTAGCTATTGGTTCCATGTTCATGAACGGGTGCAGGCCAGCTAGACTGGTTCCCTTACCTTACAATTTTCCAGTATTTTTGATCCATTTCATCTTCAGTGGAGTCAGGGAACCAGACTACTTGAATTTTTTTGTTTTTCTTGGTTTTTCCAGCATTTTCGAACACAAAACGTCAAACATGTCAGTGCAACAATATTTGATCTATTATACCAACCCCCCAAATAGTTCATTTCTGAAAATTACAGCAAAAGCCAATGATGTACATTCCCTTTTTATATAATCAAAGAATAGCAAGGGTCGTGTGGTAAAATTTGAACCTATGGTTTCAAAAGTAAAGAAAAGAAACAATATTTTATGTGCTGCTAGTTGGCGCCCTTTCGGATGATGACGTCATCACACTGTTTTCGTGTGTTGCATTCCTCACTAAACACTTTCATAATATATGTGTCTGTAGTAAAATGCTTCCGCTTTTGAGTTATATTAAGTTTTTATTGGGCTTCCGGTAACACTGGAAGTAAAGGCCAAGCGGTTTTGTGTCTGGGAACACAAAATGTTTCTCACAGAATAATCTACAACCTCACGGAAAAAACGAACCCGATGATCTTTTTAGTTCAAAATATATAACGCAAACTATTTTGTCAAAATTTGCACTTAAATTGCTCGTAATTTGATACTTCATAACGTCATGATGACGTAACAAAATTTATAACATCTTCATGACATGGTACAAGTTCACACAAGGTTAAATTTGTGACCATAGGCCTACAGTGAACTGTTTGGAAGAAATGTTGCTTTGTTTTGATGTCAGGCTAACATCTTCATTTTGAATTCACTTAACTTTGACCTTCCGGTAGACCCGGAAGTAAAGGTCAAGTTAGTTTACGTACCAGACAAAAAATGTTTAGCGATTAATGGTCTATCTGATTACAGAACACGAACATCATTGACTGTTTAGTTTAAGAGTTACAGGTGAAAGTAATTGGTCACTTTTTCAGATAAAATCACTTGTAATTTGACACCTGATGACGTAATCATGACGTCAGAGTAATATGCACCACTTCGGATGAGGGTCGATATATTGAAAGTTACAAGTTCATACATGTACCATATATCCTTTAAGAGAAAACCCACGGAGAAGTATTGTCCAGAAGAAAAAAAAACAGAAAGAACTAGAGGCTCGCGTTTGTTGTTACAAATGCAGAGTGGTCGGGTAGACAACTATTTCATTAGACATTGTCCAGTTAAGTTATGAATATGTTTTTGGCACGAAAAAAGGACTTTAACATTTCCAGTACCAATTATTTTGTACAAAAGGAATATGTCTTTTAGGGTATGTTAAATTTCAGTAAACATTTAGGTACACGTACAAGTCATTTCCGGTTTGAAGACGTAATCAGTCAAAAAAAGAAGGGAGGACACTTTATTAAGTAGAAATAACGGATTGGAATATGGAATTTAAGTGTATGTAAAAATTACACATAACTTCCGGTTTGATGACGTCACAGTATTTGGAAGCAAAAGGTCAATATTAAGTGTAACAGATGTCAATTTATTCGGCAAGTCATGAGACAGCTAGGATCATATGATGGATTTAAATTAAAAATAAAATGATCAGTGTTGAATTCTCCCTACAGTAACTTCCGGTCGATGACGTCATGATTATGAAACCTTGCAAATTAATTTGTGGTTGATTTTATTAAAATTGGATTGAGGGTTTTAACATTTTGAAAGATTAAACTGTTTTGATGTGCCGCTAGAGGGCGCCCTTTTGTGCGATGACGTCAAAATGATGTTTTTGCGATTGACATTCCTCACTTAACACTTCCATAATGTATTTGTCTGTAGTAAAATTCTTCCATTTTAGAGTAAGATTCAATTTCTATTGCACTTCCGGTAACACCGGAAGTAAAGGTCAAGCAGTTTTGTGCCCGGGAATAAGAAATGGTGCTCAAGGCACCGTCTACAACCTCACGAAAAAATGATAAAGATACTCTGTTTAGTTCAAGAGATATAGGTCAAACTATTTTGTCAAATCGTGCCATCAAATCGCTTGTAATTTGATATCTGATGATGTCATGATGACGTAACAATATTTATTGTTCACACTAGGTTTTATGATCATACCGTATTCCGTTCTGAAGAAATTGTGCTTTGTTT